AGCTGGGTACAGTGGCTCATGCCTGTAATCCCAACACTTTGGGAGGTTGAGGCAGGAGGATTGCTTGAGTCCAGGAGTTTGAGACCAGCCTAGAAAACATAGCCAGACTCAGTCTCTACACAAAATTTAAAAATTATTAATACCTGGGCATAGTGGGGTGCACCTGTAGTCCCAGCTACTCAGGAGGCTGAGGTGAGAGGATCGCTCGAGCCCAGGAGTTTGAGACTTCAGTGAGCTATGATTGCACTGTGCGCTCCACCCTGGGCAACAGAGCAAGACCTTGTCTAAAAAAATAAAAAATAAAAAGAGTGCAGAGGGTGAGCTTATCAAGGTTCACATCTGAACTCTACCATTTGTTCTCTGCAGGACCTTGAGCAAATTAACCTCTTTGTAACTCAGTCTCCTCTTTGGTAAGAAAGCGATAATAATAGTATCTGCCTCATTGGATTGTTATGAATAGGAAATGAATTGCCATTTACCATTTTAGAACAGCGCCTGACACAAAATAAGTGCTGTATATATGGAGACAGATCTAGAAGCTGTCTCCATTTAGGTCATCTTGAATGGAAAGATATCTAATTACTCACCTCTGTGTGTTTGCTGCTATTTTAAAAGCTTGTAGACCCTTAAAGTTTTACAACATCAACCAATATTTTATTGATTGCAAAGTAGTGGGTGGCCTACTACCAGTGGCTACCAATATCAGTCACTGGAGTCTGGTACGTGCATGTGTATGTACACATATGTGTGTATGACTTGAGAATAGGGTGTGGTATGTGGCTTCCACCAGTATAAAGAAGCACGAGAATTGCTTAAACCTGGGAAGCAGAGGTTGCAGTGAGCTGAGATCATGCCACTGCACTTCAGCCTGGGCCACAGAGCAAGGCTCCATCTCGGAAAAGAAAAAAAAAATAGAGGTAGAAAAGCAGTGTGCAATATTCTGCAGAATTGAGGAATCCATATAAAAGTACCATCCTCTAGCTGTTTGCTTGCTACCCCAGGGATCCCACTGGTGCTACACATTCCCCAGATGGCAATGCCAACTCTGTCTACTCATCCTGTATTACTAGCAAGGCTCTGTTCCTCAGTGAATTTCCTTTCCATTCATTTTCAAATGACTTTTCTGATATGAGCATTGTTGAATATGCACAAGAAAGAGCAAGACAGAGGCAGAGTTATGTGTATAGATAGATTTGCATAAGTATAAATACAGTATATGTACCCATATTTAAATGATATAATGATAATATTGTGTTGCTATCTCAGAGTGAAAGCTAATTAATTCAACTATTGAGATGATAATGATTTCTTTTTCAGTTAATACCAGAGTCAAAAAACCCTGCAGAATGATTCCACGCACTGTTCCTTTGACTCATCTTGGAAGAAAGAGTTTTATTCTGTTAACTATTAAGCTGTCTATCAGTATCTATGACAGTTTTAAAGGAAATCATTCCTGGGAGGGGCAGAAGATTATTAGTAGGAAGGCTGACTCATGTAGGCTCAAGAGGACATTGAGGTCATGATTTGGTACCAGGAAAGAAAAAGTCCTCTTTTTGCTTTTAGTCTCTTAAAATGCATGCTTTGGTATTTGCACTCTCAATATCAACACTGATCCGCAGCACAAAGTCTTTTTTTAGACTTTATTTGGTTGGATTTGACATTTAGGAAAATGTTAAGATCTCTCCTACTGAAATTTACACCATCTGAAAAATTCACAAGCAAGTCCGTGACTTTCTTAACCTTGACATCTCTAACTTTTCCTTCAGCCTCTGTTTTCATATTTCACGAGTTACCAAAGTCTGATATTCTCTCTGTTTCCTCTTTTCTATTCTGTCCCACTTTAGTTCAGACATTGGTAGCCTCTCAGTTGTATTATGGCAATAGTCTCCTGTCTCTAGTCTCCAATACCCATTTCACCTTTCTTTACCTTGCTCCAAGGAGCTTCCCAACATACAGGTTAAGTCATACTCTCCCCTGTTAAAGCCTTTAATGGCTTTCCTCTTTCAACATGGTAAAGACTCAATTCCTTTGCTTGGTATTCAAGGACACTTCATCAGATTCTGTTCCTACTACAACTGCTTACCCGTCTCCCACTAATTCTCTCCATACTCTACCTTACTGCCACCAAGACGGAGTATCCACCCTTTCTTGGAATTTTCATAACACCCTGTTTGTTCATTTTTCTGAGTGTCTTTCCTCCCTCATGGTCCATGTTTCTAAAACCTTACTTATTCTTCAAGGCCCAAATCAAATTCTATTTCCTTCACGGACCTCTCCCTGATTCTGGCTACTCTTAATTAATCAGGATCACTCCCAATCTATGCAATGCCTTTTCTTCGAGGCACTTGACTTCTAGCAGTTAGGAAATCGTTATATTATACTTACCTTGTTAGAACAATTTTTAAGTGCCTTCTGCTGGAAAATTGTCATAAGAAATATGCAGCTCTACATGGGTGCAATGTAATTGCTGCCTCTCCTCCTTAAATGTGGCACAATCTTTACAAGCATATGGTGTGGACCTGCTTCTACATTTCAATAATTTATTCCTTGTTTAGCTATCTTATTACTTATATTTTGTATTATGCTGTAAATTTACTTCTGTTTATTCCAACTAAGTATGCAACTCTGAAGACAAGGAATGTCTTATTCATCTTGGTATTTCCCAGGTCAGAGAATGCAGCTTTCAGATAGTTTTTACTTAACAGTAAATTATTTTACTCTCTTGTGACCCAAGGGTGGTAATTGCAAGACAGTGGTTAAGAGTACAGGCTTTAGTGCATGACTGCCTGGGTTTGAACCTTCCTAGCCCACTACTAACCATGTGATCATGGCCAAGGTACTTAAACTCTCTGTACCTTTTTTCTTCATCTATGATATGGGGACAAATAATACTATCTTCATCATAAAATTGATATGACAATTAAATCAGTAAATGGAGGTAAAGTTGTTCAAACAATAGCTACTAAGTGCTTAATAAATGTTAGATATTATTCCAACAGTCTGTTAAAATAAGAAGGACTCCTCTCAGTTTTGATAGAGACATGAAGACACTAGATGCTACATTCCAAGGTGAGCCCATCTGGCAGAAATTTCACAGTGGATATTCAAGAACCAGTTAAACATGTCACTTATTTTGAGAGAATGAAGAGATCAGGAGTTGGAAATTACAGAGAGGTCTTGTAAAGATTTTGGAGCATGTGACTAGTGTGCTGTGTGAATCTTACATCCCTACTACAAAGGAGAATGTTGGAAGTGGGAGTGTCTGTCCCTCGGGCCACCACTGGAACGTGTAGTAACTTTTTGAGGATTGGAAAATGGTGTCCCCTTGTGTCCCCAAAATGTATACTGAAGAGGTCCTATTGCTCCAAGCCCAATGAAAGACTCTTCAAGATGATTACTTGAGTAGGTTGACATGTATCCCCTGAAGCTGATAGACGTGGGGACTTTGTGTCTCACTTTCACCTGAGAAGTTGAAAGGCAGGAAGCTGGGTGGCTGACTGCTCCTGGATAAGTGGGAGAGATTTCTCTGCTCCACAGAGATTGCTAGATCAGAGAAAGCCATTATGGGGTTATCTTAGGTCCATGTCAAGAGAACCACAAGGAGTGACCTCAGTGTAAAAATCGTGGAGTGAATCGCCAAATTCCTAGATGTTGAAGGAGACACATACCATGGGCTAGAATAGAGATGTATTTGCCCTCATCAAAAAAGTTCAGATGAGGCTGGGTGTGGTGGCTCATGCCTGTAATCCCAGCACTTTGGGAGGCTGAGGCGGGCAGATCATTTGAGGTCAGGAGTTTGAGACCAGCCTGGCAAACATGGTGAAACCCCATCTCTACTAAAAATACAAAAATTAGTCGGGAGTGGTGAGTGGCACTTTTCATCCCAGCTGCTCCAGAGGGTGAGACAGGAGAATCGCTTGAACCCGGAAGGCAGAGGCTGCATGAGCCAAGATTGTGCCACTGCACTCTAGCCTGGTTGACAGAGTGAGACTCTGTCTCAAAAAAACAAAAAACAAAAAACAAAGTTCAGATGAAAGTATCCCAAAGATGAGAAATCTCTAAAGAACCCAACCCAATGGAGAGTCAACTTTGAAAACTTGCTACACACAAACCGGCTTACAGCAACACTAGTCCAGTAACTGCCTTCCTGTCATTTCCTCTCTTACCTCTCTCACAGTCCTCTCCCTATTCGACACTGCCTCCTTGACTCTGAAAGTGTCAGGAACTATGGTTAGTCAGATGGAGGAGAAAGCAGAAAGTGGGGAAATGGAGCAGTAGAGTTGAAGCCGGTTACCTCCCTTTTTCACTCTAGGCATCTTTCCTGCTAATAGGCTGCAGCTGTGCTATGCCTTCTTGGGGGAGATGTTTGCTTTTAGCTCAAGGTTGGCATTTTTATTATTATGCCAGGCTGGCATATGAAGTACTGAATTGAAACCTTGAATGCCATTTTCTCCCTGAATGCCTGGTTAACAGCAACTCACTTTCCAAAACTTAGCTCAATGCTCACTTCCTATCCTGACCTCTTTATCCCAAACTGAGGAGTCTGTGTGTTTGCTCTGCCGCCATGCAGTTTTTAGAGCCCAGACAACATGTAATTCCACTTGTTTCGTTGTTTGTGTGTCTTTGTCCTCAGCCAACCTTTAAACTCTCGGAGCCCAGGGGTGAATTGTTTGCCTTTGTACCCTTGGCACTTAGTGCTCAGTGGCATAGAATTGTCCCCCAGTAAAGATCTATGAAAGTAATTTATCTTAGAAAACAAATTCACATTTTTCCTAAGAGAGGCTATAATTCAAACTTGTCTTTATTTCTGAAAGATAAATTAAAAACAACAGCCTTCTCGACAACACAATGTCATATAAAGTATTTGTCACTGATGTGCTCAAGGGTGGCCTGGGTGCTCTTTAGCAGTTTGTGAGAAAATGTCCTGGCATCTCTCAACCTGTGTTTTTCCTGAGAAGCTGTAAGAGGACTTTTTACACTTTTCAGTGTTTCTCCCACAGGTTTCTTCAGGAGAAGCATTACCAAAAATGCCGTGTACAAGTGTAAAAACGGGGGCAACTGTGTGATGGATATGTACATGAGAAGAAAGTGTCAAGAGTGTCGACTAAGGAAATGCAAAGAGATGGGAATGTTGGCTGAATGTATGTATACAGGTATTCACTTCAAGCAATTACATTTCACTAAAAATCTCTTAAGGAGGCAGATGTCAGGTAACTCATCACGACAGTGCTACTTCACATATTAAAGAAGGAACCTACTAAGCCATCTAAGTTCTTGAAAAGGGTAATGAACCACTGAAATTGTCCAAACTGTCAACTAAAGAGCATTTTAGTCACCCAAAAGAAATGTCTGTTTTTTTTTGTTGTTGTTGTCGCAGTGAACTATACATGGAGCCCAGTGGCATTAGCGTACCATTCAAGTAACGTGCTTTAATGAGCTACGAATGACAGTCTAAAAGTTTCCTCTAAATTTGATTTTAATATACTTATTATGTATTGCTTAATTAGCATACAAATTCACTATTGTGGAAAGAAATAAGAGTGTTTTATAAGGTATAACTGCCTCTGAATTGTCTAAATAGAGTTTTAAACCAAGTCATTTTATTAAGAATCTGTCTTCTCTTAGTGCAGCTTTGAACCAATTTGTATAGGTTTACACCGGAAATTAACTACTCCCAGTTTTAATATAATTTTGTCCTTCTATCTGATAAGGAGACACTGTATTAAACTGCTGGCTTTGTGAGGAACTATAATCTTCATCAAAAATTGGAATGCATGCTAGTATATAACATAATTAATTTTTCATTCTGCAAATTCTACAGACCACTCAGATTCTGAGATATGTCCTGTTTCTCCTCAAAACACAAACAGACAAACAAATGTCACCAAGGGGATGATAGCATTCAGGCAGGGAATGCCACATGAAATAAAAGCCTTCAGAAGGTGACTCCAGTTCTATTGTTACCAAACTGTACAGGCAACTGGGATGGACCCAGGGAAATAATGCGTGCCGGTTGGGGGAAAATAGGTCTGTGTAAATAATCCAGCTCTGGGTGGATGAAAGTTTTATAGCAGCTGATCACAATCTCATCTTAGCATACATGAAACGAGAGCCTGCAATAGGGGCTGCTGCTGGAATCCAATCTCACAATGGAAACACTTACTCTGACACTGCGCAGCTCATATTGCTCATCACTTAGATATGAACTTGTTCCAGCTGGAGCTCTGAGGACATTTTGCATGAAGCCACATATAGCAATCTATAATATTTACGAACACAAACTCGTCCAGTAACAGATGCAGATATTTCATGGTTCTACAAAATAAATTCCCTGTACAAAGAAATTCCTGGAGCTTTGTTTTATTGGCATTGAGAGAAGAGTAAGGACGTTAAATGGGATGAAGGGAAGATTGTTTTACATTATTTTTAATAGCTCCCTTTAAGTGTAAATCAATGAGGTTGATTGATCATTCAAAGACATTTTTAAAGTCACCTTGTATTATTTTTATTTTTAACTATATTCTCGGGAATTGGCACTGTTCTCAAAATTAACAGGATTTAAAAAATATCCCTAAAGGATGCTAACATTTATTTTTCTCAATAAGTTTATATATGTTTAATGTGAAATTCAATATCCTTCTTCTGGTACAATATGTAAACATGGCTGAAAATAATATTAATGGCATGTTTTAAAACACCAATTTTCATGGTCCCCTAGAGCAGGAACAGGGAGAGTGTCATTCACCTTTTCATTGACTGAATCCCTTGCATTTGTACAATGCTTTCGTATCACAAGTTCTTTATATAAAGCCCATTTTAAAATGATCTGATTGCTTTTAATCTACACAAAACTCTATAAGGTAGATATTATTCCCATTTTACAAATGAGGAAACTGAGATTCACAGAGGTTAAACTACTTGTTCAAGATTAAGTCTCAAACCTTGGCCTTCCCTTTTTAAAACGCATAAAGGGCTAGCATTAGTTCTGTGTCATTGCATAGGGGATCTTCTGGGCCAGGTACATATCAGTGGTTTTATGACCACACACCCAACAGTACTTTCTGTGATTGGTGAAGTCTCTATGCTTATTTATTTTAGGCTTGTTAACCGAAATTCAGTGTAAATCTAAGCGACTGAGAAAAAATGTGAAGCAGCATGCAGATCAGACCATGAATGAAGACAGTCAAGGTCGTGACTTGCGACAAGTGACCTCGACAACCAAGTCATGCAGGGTAATAATATGCAATGGTGTCTGCCAAGACTGGCAGGAACTGAGTTTCTAGGTACATAGTGAGCTGGCCAGGAGGCTTTCAAATTAAAGCCACAGGCACAGCTGAATTTCTAGTCCAATTGTTTATTAAAATGGATTCCTAATACATACTTCAATGTAAACATTCAAATAATAGCAGTGCATAAACTAAAAAGTGAAAGTTTTCCTTCTCTCTGACTCCATTCCAGTCCTACTACCTAGTGTTTGCCAGCAGGAATGATTTGGTGTATAAAATGGATTTTTTCCCACTGAGTATTGACCATTTTTTCCCTCTTTTTGAGAAGAAAGGCTCAAACTGGGAAGAATGTGGTGTCAATAGAGGCTATGGATTAATCCTTATAAATGAGTAAAACAGGGTGAATACACATGTGTGGACCCATAGAGAAAAGTGCTACACACTGAGGTCACAAATTTCTCAAGAAATCCATTGAGCAACTCAGGACAAAATAGGGGAACATCATCCAAGATGTTTAGACAAACACATTGTGAGAATGCACAGGACATTTGATGGAATTTTATTTTGCCATTAACTGAAAAACCAATAAGCTATGATTGTCCAAACCATACCCTTCTCAATATTTATTCATTATTGACAAAACTTTATCCACATTTAGTTTTATAAATCCATAATTTTATATTTATTTAAGAAAAAGTATTTTATATGAAAGCATTATTTTGCCATAGTGCTTCGTCAGTAACACTTTGGTATAAGAAAGCAAAGAGTTGACATAATTATTCACACTCTTCAAAAGATGCTGTAGAGGGAGAAGGAGATGTTTGGGGTCTGAATTGTCCAGATTATTGACTCTCTATTTTAGAGGTTGACAAACATTTTTCTTTAAAGAGCTTTGCCCACATAGTATCTACAACAACTACTCAGCTCTACCATTTTAGTGCAAAAGTAGCACAGACAACACATAAACAAATGAGTGTGGCTGTGTTACAATCCAATGGATTTGGTCCATGGACCACAGTTTGTTGATCCCTCCTCCACATGAGTACTCTTAGATGATTTCTCCAAGTGGAATTCATGTTGAATACCATATGAATGTAGTATTCATAGTAGTCATACTATGTGAGAACCTTTCATTAGTTATAATTAAAGCTTGAACTTTCAGTGACCTTCAATATGAATGGGCTCACTAGTCTTCATATCCAGACTACCATTTATTCCTAAGAAATACATAAGTGGAATATTTTGTTATTCATATTTTGTAGATGGGAAAATACAGTGAAATGTGATATGGCCTGCCCGAGGACCCAGAGAAAGAAATTATACACTCTATTAGAGCTCATAATTCCTGCTGTATTTATGGCTTTTAAAAAAAAATGATTTCTGCTATTAGTTCCCTCCAGATGAATGCCCATATAGAAAGAAGGCTTTATACACAACTTCCCTAACACCTTTTATTTTCTTGCCAGTGTAGGAGAAAACTGAACTCACCCCAGATCAACAGAATCTTCTACATTATATTATGGATTCATATAGCAAACAGAAGATGCCTCAGGAAATAACAAATAAAATTGTATGTATAATATCTGAAAATATGTGGGTTTAATGTTAATATTTCCTGGAGATTTTACTGCCTTGAAGGTATAATTTATATGTGAATATGTTACTTTGGAATGATTAGAGCTGAGAATTCAAGTTAGACTTTTAAACTCTTAGCAACATTAAACAATTCAAGAGTAAGAAGTCTCCCATCTATCTTGATAATTGCCCTCCAAAGATCTGAGAAACAGTAAGATGGGTTTTCAAATTTTATCATCTAAATCTAGTTTTTCTTTAGTCTAATGGTTTTATATTATCGTTTTCTTATCTACTTATTAATCTTTTTTTTTCTTAAAATTTAGTTAAAAGAAGAATTCAGTGCAGAAGAAAATTTTCTCATTTTAACGGAAATGGCAACCAATCATGTACAAGTTCTTGTAGAATTCACAAAAAAGCTACCAGGTATTTTTTAAATAATCAAAGTAAATATTTATTGAGAATTTAAATATGTGCTCACAGATTAGATTACCTGTTTTACACACGGTGTTTTATTTTTCAAAACATTCCTGTGAGATCAGCTCTATTTTCAGTATTACTTTGCCAAGTATTTTCACATGTACTTATTTCACTGCTATTCTCTGCAATAGTCTTGTGACATTGAGAAAGGCAGGTCTGTTCTTTGTAAAATGAAAATAATCTAATATCTGATTTAAACTAACAAGTCTAACTACTATAGACATAAGATATTAGAACTAGAAAGGATATTTAAAATAATGTATAATAACTCTTCGAAATCAGTAGATTAAAAATTGAAACTTTGCAAGGTTGTCATTCACCCATTTATTCCTTCAGGAAGCAGTTGTTGATACCTACTCTATACTAAGTGCCTGACTGTTACCTTCAGGGAGAGTGGTCAAAGGTGATAATAATAATAATAATAAATACACATACATACACATACATACAAAGTGCTGTTTGAACAGAGAGGAACTGGTTGCTAATTGTGTCTAGGAAAGATGGAGAGACTTCAGGGAGGATCATATTTGAGTTGAGTCTAAAAGAAAAGGAAGTTTTCCAGTTGGCATGGAGAAGAAGCGGCATTCCAAGATGAGAGATCTGCTTGTTTTTTTGTTTTTGTTTTGTTTTGTTTGAGACGGAGTCTCGCTCTATTGCCCAGGCTGGAGTGCAATGGCATGATCTTGGCTCACCGCAACTTCTGCTTCCCTAGTTGAAGCAATTCTCCTGCCTCAGTCTCCTGAGTAGCTGGGACTACAGGCACATGCCACCACGCCCAGCTAATTTTTGTGTTTTTAGTAGAGATGGGATTTCACCATACTGGACAGGCTGGATTCGAACTCCTGACCTCAAATGACCTGCCTGCCTTGACCAAAGTGCTGGGATTACAGGAGTGAGCCACCATGCCTGGCCGAGAGATCTGCTTGTTAAAAGACACTGAGGCATACAAGAATAGGATTATTCGAGGTGGGAGAGAAAATTCAGTGTGGTAATAGCATAGTGTCTGTGGTGGGCTCCTAGGTTAGACAATAAGGTAAGTTGGTACCAGACTGATGAAGGCCTAACTAAGGAATTTAATCTGTGTCCCCTGGATAGTAAAGAGATTTTGGTGGTTTTTGTAACAGAGGGAAATGATGAAGTTTTTGTTATACAGAAATGACTTAATCAGGTTCATGTAAGATGAATTTGAATGGAAACGGCCTGGGGGCAGGGAAGATCAGGTAGTATGCTACTGCACAAGTCCAGGCAACAGGGCTTGAAATAAAGCAATAGCAGTGGGGAAGAGAAGAAGAAACAAAAAGAAGAGAGATTCAAAAACTGATAGGGCTTGAGGAACAGTTGTATGTGTAAGGTGAGGGAGAGGGACTTAACTTATCCACACTCATTCTGATGGTGCCAGTATAGAAACTAGAATGTGGGAGTCTTCTTATATCCTAGCCTCAAATTCTTTTTGCCACATCATCAATGCTATCTAAGCTAATGGATTTTAGTTGTTTCAATGTTTATGAAAATATTGGTGTATTGAAATCCCATGGTCTAGAAGAGTATAATAAATACCTTGTATAGCAGCATAATACTATAATATTAAATTACAGAAGATAACTTCTGATATAGGATGTTAATTAAACATGTTAATTTGCCTTCTTTTTGCCATCATTATGCTATTATTTTATTAAATGTGTCACAGATAGACATAAGCCTACATAAAACAAAGTGTGAGGAGAAAGTTCTCACTATCATTGAAACACTACTATGCTGTCATTTCTTTATTAACAATGAAAGAGGAACTTAATTTACTATATGCTAATTAAATGGAAGACAGTATCAATAAAAAACTGGATGACATAAAAGTAAAAACTGTGGGGGAAAGAACTGGACAAGGGAGATGTTTTTGGTTATTTATGGGAAGAGATTTTGTAAGTTCACATGGTCACTTGGTCTTGAATCAAGAAATAATTGAAGACAAATAAAAACCTTATTCATAAGAAGGTAGCTTATCTGAAAGCAATAGTAACATCTTAGCATCTCTTAATTCCCAGTGCCTAGCTTAATTCCTGAGGGAGTGAGCACAATTATGTGTGTTCAATGAGTAAAGCAGAAGGAAAAAATTTAAAATATGGAAGGAAATAAAAGGCAAAAGACCCTTGAGAAGGAAAAAAAATGGACAATAATGACAGAGATAGCATTATTACAAGTAGTAATAGTAGGGATATAGTACCAATACTGAAGGGATATTTTGTGAAAAACTGAATTGAATCATTCCATTCAGTATTCATTGAGCACACCCTGTGCAGGCACTGTCCAGGGTGCTGGAGTCCCTGAAAGCAGTAAGGCATGGCCCCTTTTCTCAAAGAAGCTCTTAGATTCTCTAGGATGGTGGCTCAGTCTTTAGCGTTGTTCTCTTCTCTATACTCCCTTTGCTATTTAGTTCTTCCTAAGCCATTTAGACCCTTATGGTGTTATCTCTATTTATGTGAGTATATGTGCCAGCATGCACATGAGCTTGTGTTTTGTTTCCCATTCATTCATTCATTCAATCCGTCAATTATCCAACAAATAATTCTTAGGTACCTGTTATGTGCCAGGAAACAGGGATACAAAAGAAAATAAAAACAAAGCCTCTACCTCCAAGAAATGTACACTCCAGTAGAGGTGGCAGATAATTAATGAATAAGCAAATAAATCTATAATATCATGTCAGGTGGTGATAAGTTCTATAAATTAAAATAAAGAAGGTAGATACTAGTAGTGGTGGGGAGTGTATTTTAGATTGGGGAATGCTGGAGCAGAGGCTTGATTGCAGGAGGGAGCGGGGCATGGGGCTTGGGGATATCTGGGAAGAACATTCATCTCTGAGGCAAAAAGAGGCTTGTGTGCTCACAGCAGGGCCAGGGGGTCAGTGTGGCTGGAACACAAAAAGTAGGGGGAATAAGGAGTAGAAAATGAGTTCAGAGAAGCTGTTGGGACTGTACCATATAAGCCTGGATAACGACTTTGAATTTTCCAGGCAGTGTTATATTTCATCAGGTTGGCAATTCTTACCGTATTTTTCTGATTTTCCCCTACCCTGTGTGTTGCAGTACTAAGTTCAGAGCAGATACACCAATTTGACTTTGATTGGCTTTTTTTTGGGAAATACTACCCATTCTTTAGCTTGACTAAAGACTCATGAGTTAGCTAAATATTCTGGGTGCATGTAAAGTTTTTTTCTGGCTTGTAGATGCTTCCAATCTGCAGAGTTGACCCTGTCACATCAGGTGTGACTAACATAATGGCTCAAAGAAAATCTGCCTGCATCTAGTTTCTGAGGGTTTCTTCATCTGAATCAGTGTATCTGTGCCATAATATATGTATCTGCTTGGACCTGACATCTCCCTTTGCCCAGCTTGTTTAATAAATTCTGCTCAATGAAGATAACAACCTCTGTTTTGTTGGCAAGTACAAATGGACTCAACTAGACTACCCAATTGTAAAACAACTACAAAATCACTTGATGAAAATGTTTTATCAATGGCAATGATGGTTATCATAAAATATTGTTACTCCCTGATACTAATTTGATTATCATTATTACCTAGGATTTCAAACTTTGGACCATGAAGACCAGATTGCTTTGCTGAAAGGGTCTGCGGTTGAAGCTATGTTCCTTCGTTCAGCTGAGATTTTCAATAAGAAACTTCCGTCTGGTCATTCTGACCTATTGGAAGAAAGAATTCGAAATAGTGGTAAGTGATTTGGCTAATGGTAAAAGAGTTTGTTTCTATGAGTAAAATTGGTGTGCTCCATGAAGGCGGGGCTCTTGCCCATCTTACGCAATGTTATATGCCTGTTGTGCCTAGCATGAAGAATGACTCTAAAAAGATACATGTTAAATAATAAGACTTCTAGAGGCTTGGTTCAAATATCTCTGTTGTAATAGCAAAGTAGCAAAACTACCCCTTTACTGCACTAAGATGAAGAGCCAAAGGAAGACTTTTGTAAAGATTGGAAAATTCATCTGATTTTTAAAAACTAGCACAAAGGAGCTGGGATTCTTCAGCCAAAAAAAAAAAAAAAAGAAAAATATTTATTTAAAATCTTCAGGTATGTAAGACTAAGTATCCAGCTATTTTATATCTGTATCAAAATAAAATAAGAAGACATTTTAATAGTAACATTTATATGTCATTTACTAGGTTTCAGACACTTTTCTTTTTCTTTCTTTCTCTTTTCTTTCTTTTCTTTTCTTTTTTTTTTTTTTTTTAGACAGAGTCTTGCTCTTTGCCCAGGCCGGAGTGTAGTGGTGTGACCTGAGCTCACTGCAGCCTCTGTTTCCCAGGTTCAAGCAATTCTTGTGCCTCAGCCTCCCGAGTAGCTGGGATTATAGGTATGTACCACCACACCCAGCTAATTTTGGTATTTTTAGTAGAGACAGGGTTTCTCCATGTTTCCCAAGTTGGTCTCAAACTCCTGGTCTCAAACGATCAGCCTTACTTGGCCTTCCAAAATGCTGAGATTACAGGTGTGAGCTACCATGCCCGACCAAAGTTAACTCTTTTTTTTTTTTTTTTTTTTTTGGAGACAGAATCTTGCTCTGTTGCTTAGGCTGGAGTGCAGTGGCGTGATCTTGGCTCACCACAATTTCTCCTTCCTGGGTTCAAGTGATTTTTTTGTGCCTCAGCTTCCCAAGTAGCTGGGACTACAGGTGCACGCCATCACACCCAGCTGATTTTTATATTTTTAGTAGAGACAGGGTTTCACCATGTTGGCCAGGCTGGTCTTGGACTCCTGGCCTCAAGTGATCCACCTACCTCGGCCTCCCAAAGTGTTAGGATTAAAGGCATGAGCCACCACACGTGGTCGGTTTCAGACACTTTTCTAAATACATATATTATTTCATCTAATCTTCTCAAATATTCTATGAATAAATACTATTATCATTCCCATTTTGCAGATGAAAAAGCTGAGACAAAGAAAGGTTAAATAACTTTCCCAATGACAGAGAGGAAGTCTGATTTCAGAAGCTTTGTGTCAGATGGGCGCAGTGGCTCATGCCTATAATCTCAGAACTTTGGGAGTCAGAGGTGGGTAGATCACTTGAGATCAGGAGTTCAATACCAGCCTGGCCAACACAGTGAAACCCCATCTCTACTAAAAATATAAAAAATTAGCTGGGCGTGGTAGCACTGTAATCCCAGTTACTCAGGAGGCTGAGGCAGGAGAATTGCTTGAACCCAGGAGATGGAGGTTGCAGTGAGTCAAGATCGCACCACCGCACTCCAGCCTGGGCAACAGAGTGAGACTCAGTCTCAAAAAAAAGAAGTTTTGTGTCTTAACCACTATGCTATAGTAACTCTCAAGAGTTGAGATAATAGCACAAGTTACTCAGTGTTTAACAGTGGAGTAACACTGTGACAGGGAAGCTCAAGAGACATTGAGATGAATTACCAGGAATTCTGTGCAATTTATCTTAGAAGATCCTTAAGATAGGATGAGTTCTTATTTTCCCGAGAGATTTCATATGTGGGTTGGGAGTGGAGAATGAATGAGATGACTTCTCAAGATCATTTCTTTCTAAAGTATTATCGTCTTATTATTAACCAAAGCAAATTTAAAGACTTTTAAAACCAATATTTTAGGATAGAGATTAGAGGGAAAGTTTTCAGGCAGTTCTGCATCTGTATTATAAGTGAAATAATTTTTTAAAAGGAAAATTATTTTTAATTTTAATGACATATTTCCATAGTCATTATGTTTTTTCCTCGTTAAAAACAAAAAGTGTAACTAGCATCATTGGTAGATTTTAAAACCACACACTTTAAAAAGATGCATTATTCTTAATATATTCATTAATTTACTAGTCTATCAAATATTTAAGGGCAAGGTACTATGGTGGCAGTGAAGAGAGAAATCAAGCATGTTCTTTCCCCTAAGAAGCTTACAGTCTAATGGGAAGAGATTAACTGTCCATGATTATGATAAAATATGGAAGAGAAAAACAGAGAGATGGTGACTCCTAGTTGACAGAGCTCCAAAAAAGTTTTATTAGCATTTGAGTTGGGACTTGAATGAGATTTGATTTGGATACCCAAGGTGCAGGAGAGAAGGACCAGCAGGAGCAAAGAGAAAGAGGCAAGAAAGCTCAGGGAATGCACACAAAGAAGGGTGAGTAGCTGAGCTGACTGGATTAAGGGTTACATTAAAGGGAAATAGAGAGGAAAAAAAGACAGGATCAGATGATTGAGGGCCTTGGATGCTGGGATAATTATTTTGTTATTTCCCAAGTAATAGGAGACATGGAAGATCTTTGAGCAGAGGAGGGAAAATGTCAAAATCAAGCTTTACAAATTTTCTAGCAGTGTTAGGGTAAGCCAGTACAGAAGTCACCTCTTAGGAGGCAGGAAGTCTCAAAGATGTGATGCTTGCTGTCAGGAGAAATGGAGAGAAGAGAAAGGATCTGGGAGATATATCTTTGTGGCTTATCAACTTTCGAAAGACATTATGTTGTCAAGAAACATGGATTTTGGTCCTGGACTGATTGTGTGTGTGTGTGTCTCTCTCTCTCTCTCTCTCTCTGTGTGTGTGTGTGTGTGTGTGTGTGTGTGTGTGTTTGTCCAGGCTAAGGGGAAAAGGTTGAATCAGGTAACCTCCAAGGCACCATTCAGTTCTACAAGTCTTACTGCTTTTCTTCTCTTAACTAATTCAATTTTCCTGATGGGTGGTTTAGCTAGTCACTAGGCCAGCTACTGAAGTATCCTGATTTTAAAGCCACAATCAATAACTGACAGTTCAACTTAGGAAAGAATTAAAGGACAGGCTGAATTTTCACATGTATGGATATAATTGTTGTTTTAGACTATTGAACATACACTGGTGGTTCTCTCTTTATGCAGAAAATTATAGTGGCTTCAACCTGTGATGGGCAAGGCCTCAGCAGCTTAGCTTTGTCATTTATTTGATTCTGGCTTCCATGGACTGTGGCAGTGCTCCCTTTAAGAAAATCCCAGTCAGCCAAGCACGGTGGCTCACGCCTGTAATCCCACCACTTTGGGAGGCCAAGGCGGGTGGATCACGAGGTCAGGAGATTGAGACCATCCTGGCTAAAACAGTGAAACCCAGTCTCTACTAAAAATACAAAAAATTAGCCGGGCGTGGTGGCGGGCGCCTGTAGTCCCAGCTACTCAGGAGGCTGAGGCAGGAGAATGGCGTGAACCTGGGAGGTGGAGCTTACAGTGAGCCGAGATTGCACCACGGTACTCCAGCCTGGGGGACAGAGCAAGACTCCGTCTCAAAAACAAAAAATAAAAAATAAAAAAATAAAAAGAAAAGAAAATCCATCAGTAAAATCTAATTCTTACAAAACTAATAAAATAAAAAGGAATGATGACTCATGACAAAATTTATGCATTTTACTGATAGGTCTCTACTCTCTCTACTCTAGCAAATGTGTGTTTGGTTTATTCATCGAGAGAGTGGTGATTAAGGATACTTACTGTGGAATCTGGATTGAATATGGGCTCCGCTACTTATTAGCTGCATGTCCCATTTTTTTAAAGCTGTTGAAATAGACCTCATAACCAATTTGATCTCTTTGAAATCATGTTTAACTTTAATATTTATTCTGCAGTCTTGCCTGAAGTTTGATAATAAAAACTTAATAAGACAGGGTTTTCTTCTTTTTGAGTCAGTATTTTATCCCAGGCACCTAGCACGTGCCTGGCTCGGAGTGGGTGCTCAACAGAATTCTGTGGAACAAATGAAAAAAATGAATGAAGGTGTGTCCGGAGCTATAAAACTGGTCTGTTTATTTACTTTCCAGATGGTTGTTTCCCTGAATATCAGAGTTGTTAATGTCCAAAGCTGACAAGTAACGAACAAAAAGTTGGTTAAACATTCTTCTAAACCTTGCCTATTGTAGTTAATTTGGGGAACAGATATCTCTTTTGCATTTGAGTGTAAGAAAAGGAAAAAGACAGTTTGGATATGGAAATTCTGTTGTGTTCTCTCTCCTCCTCCTCCTCAAAGATGAGTCATTTAAAGTTGATTCAGTTGCCAGACAATGAAAAAGAGGGGTGCAATGTCTGCCGTATGAATGGAAATGTTTTAATGAGAGGGCATCTGCAGGAGAATTATCCAGTGGTTGTTACTATCTTTCTTTCCCTGTCTCTTTTTCTCTCCTGGATGCTCAGCTTCCTTAAAAAAAAAAAAAAAAAAAAAATCTTCGTCTGGCTCCATCAGATCTCCTGGGTCCTGAGCCAAGTCAGATGCTGCCATTTCCATGATGGCCACTGGGTTAGTACCAGATTCCTTCCCCAGCCTGAGGTAGGGAAAATCCCTTCCACTGTGGGTCAGCTAAAAGGGGAAAAATAGTTTTCCAAACAGTTTACAAGACTACTAAGAGGAAAATTATGCTTATAGAAAGGCATGTATAAGGCTGAGCATGCTGGCTCACACCTATAATCCCAGCACTTCAGGAGGCCAAGGCAGGAAGATTGCTTGAGCTCAGGAATTTGAGACCAGCCTGGGCCACAGAGCGACACCCCATCTTTACAAAAAATTTAAAAAATTAGCTGGGCATGGTGGCACGGGTCTGTAATCCCAGCGAGTTGAGAGGCTGAGGTGGGAGGGTCGCTGGAGCCCAGGAGGTGGAGGTTGCAGTGAGCTGAGATTGTGCCACTGTACTCCGGCCTGGGTGACAGAGTAAGACCTTGTCCAAAAAAAAAAAAAAAAAGGTGAAGGTCATATA